AGCCATGGCTATGGTGGACCGATGTATGAGTCAGCAGTGAGGGGGAACTTCGGACATTGATTCTGGATCATTCATTCATTGTTATTATTATTATTATTGCAAGAGGAATAAGATTGGGGGAAGTTGGAAGGAGGAGGAAGGCGGAGAAGAGTTGTCATTTGTCTTGCTGGTGTACTTCTTCTTCTTCTTCTTCTTCTTCTTCTTCTTCTTCTTCTTTCTCGCTCCTCTGGTCCATATCTCTTTGCAAGTGCTTTCATTTCTTTCGCAATTTGGTGGCATTGTCTTTCATTGTGAATTGCACTTGGGAAATGACCAGGATCGTAACAAATGCCTCATTACTTTGGTCCTTGGGAAGTCCTGGATGTAGTGGGGGATGAGATGGATGGTCCTACCTATGTTATCCGTATCCCTGGACACCTACGCACTCACCCTGTCTTTCATGCCTCAAAGCTTGCACCTTTCGCTGAGACTGATCAATTCCCTTCAAGGAGATCGATGCTGCCCCCAACCATGGATGGTCAAGTGGACATCGACGACATTGTGGATCACAGAGATCTGCCTGTTCAGAAGCCTTTGGGTAGAGGAAGACCTCCTAAGCCCAAGAGAGAATATCGCGTCAGATTCAGGCATCATACGGATCCAAAAGAAGGTCGGTGGTTCACCAGAGAGGAACTGATTGATACAGCTCCTCAGGTGGTAGCAGAATATGAGAGGAAGCTGAAAGGGAAGGCACCTGCGAAGTAAGCATCTCAGCGGACTTTCGAAGCTAAGGGGGATGGAATGTGAGGATTGAGCCCTCAAGAAGGGGCCTTGCCGTGATGTACATGTTCTGGGCTAAGGCCCCCAGCAAGCCTTGTGCCCGCCCTAAGTGAAGGCGGGCCAGCAAATCAACAAGAGCCCTTTGTTCAAACATTTCACGAAGTGGGGTCCATACAGTTGCAGCACGCCAGTTGGTTGGTGTGCACCGAGTCTCGGATCTCTGCAAATGCGGAAATCCCAGGGCCCCTGAGTTGGTTAGGCCCTGGGCACATAAACGTGAGGCCGACAATGCATGCTGGATATAGAGGCCGAAATTGCCAATGGTAAATCGGCTCACTATCTGAATCTGGCCGCAGGCCTTGATGAAAGAGGCGCAACTGCATCTCCCGGGCCCCAGGCGCATCGGGCCTGGGTTCAGGTACTGGGGCCCAGGCGCAGGCTGAAGGGAGGCCGCCCACACGCAACACTGGCATATAGGCAAGCAGGGCGAGTGGGCAGGGATCTTGGCCATTGCGAGCAAGGCCGGCGCGCTGCTGCGCTGCGCTAAGGCTGAGGGGAGCAGGACAGCGCAAGGCGGTAGGGTGCTGCCTGTGGGCGCAGGGTGCTGGCGGCCATAGCCGGGCTGCCTGTGTGCGCAGAGGGTGAAGGGCGAAGGTGGTTCTTCGGAGGTGAACGGCGCTGTGTGGGGATAACAAGGGAGAGTGAGGGTGAAGAGAGGAGACGTACCTGGTGGAGGTGGAGGTCGGCATTGGAGTTGACATCATCACTCGCTGGTCGTCAAGTTGTCTGGTTGCTTTCATTGCTGTAGTTGTAGGCTTAGGCTGTAGAGTAGATAGGGCGCCTGGCGCCATTCACAAGAGAGAGCTACATTGGGTTATGCTGTTGGTGTTGCCCTGTTGGGCTTGGACATTGACTCACGATTCTTCTGTATCATTCTCAAATGGATGGTTACTCGGTTCCATTGTGCTATCTGCTCTGGCTTTGACTACTTGGACTTCAGTGTGATTTTGCAATCTGGATTTCTGTGCTTCGCCCATATACATGTTCCTTGCACTTGAGCATTGGGAAAAAAAAAAAAAAGAAAGACAGAAAACAGTGTCTTCCTTTTCTTTGTTTTAGTGTATTCTTATTTCTTTCAGTGTCTTACAATTTTTTTTACACTGAACGAAGGATAAAAATAAAAATACTCCGACGAAACAGTTTGTCACAGCCCCTCGTTTGTTGTCCTCTTCTCTCTCTCTGCCTATGGTTTACCGGGCAGTTCTGTTTGTGACGATATATATATAAAGTTTTTTTCAGAGCTGACATGTAAGAAAAGAAAGGAGAAAGAAGTGCGCAACAGATTGCGCCTCCCTCGCTCCCTACCTGGGGCGAGGTCCCACGTGCATGGATGAAGCGCAGCATACTGGCCCTACGCTACACGACACTCCACATGCATCTCGACGCTTTCCTTGACCATGTGCACTCGGAAGAGTCCAACATGTTGAATGTATCCGGTCAGCAAAGCGTCCAAATTCATGTAGAGTGTTGTGTACTGGAGCGAGGCCCACTGGCTGTACACTCTTCTTCTTCTTTATCCAAGGCCAGGATCTGTGGTTCTGACCAAGTATGGGACCTTGGGCCTCACTTCACTACTCTCGACATGGGCAAATCGAGCGTGCATCTTCCCCTCGAACATGGAACGATACACCAGCATGGTTTTTGTCTTTT